TTATATAGAACCTTCGTTCTCGCGGATCAGTGCTCATCGCCCTGATCGATTCCGATTCCTCAGAGGTCGTCAGTCCGACCACCTCTGATGCCCATCAATCACGTGACAGTAACTAAAGGAAATCCATGGATCGCTTAGCTGGCCTAAGCAATCCCTATTTGCTATAAGAAACCTGGATGTGCCTGTCGAGGGTTGCGCCTCTTTATTATGACAAGTATCACGTGAGCACGTGATTCGTGACACATACCAACCAGCGAACACCCAGCCAAGTTTAGTTAGCCAGTTTGAGTATTCGTTACATAAGGGGGCGAAAGTGCGATATATATACTATTAATTACTCCTAGATAGCCGTCGAACTCGGGGTATATTTATAGTTAAGTAAGATCTTTAAAGAGAGTAGAGTATTCGCTAAAAGTAGGATTACGTACTTATTATAAAAACTCGGCTTTAAAAAGTATCGAATTACTTTATAGAAAGTATACTAAATTATCTTAGTACTCTTAATTAAATTAGTGTATATTATTATAGCGAAAAGACGTATAACCTCTAAAATCGCTCCGCTAGCTTTCGTATAGATAAATAACTATAAATTATATATAAAAATAAGTTATACCTAATTACTCTTATATTATCATATATCAAGTAGGGGCTAAACTAGTCTTATTAGCTAAAAAGTTCTCAAGAGTAATAAAAGCCTCTTTTGTTATATACAAATTATTACGTAATCGATCCGGATAGCTATCTAATAGCTCGTTTATCTATTGTAGCCTAGTGAGTTTAGACGTGTGTTATAGAGTCTTGTAGAAGTTATTCCGGTAGTACAAAGACGCGGCGAATATACTAGATATAGCTAAAAGTGCTATAGTTTTAGCTTTCCTATCACGCGTACGACGTCTTTGAATAAAGGATTTCATAATTGATACATAGATGTATAATTATATATATAAAGTAGTGGATAAAGTAGATAAAGTAGTAAGTAGTGTTTACGCTAGGTGGAATAAGCGAGTTGTGGATTTGGGTGTTACAATACAGCTTTTTCCTATACCGTAGATTTGTATAGGACATTACGGATGAAGCTAGATCACTATACTCGGAGTACTATTTTCCGATGAACGAGCCAAACGTTTTATAGACTCGATACGAGTAGTGACTCGTATAGAGTACTGAACTCTAATTTTGTATGGTGGACCCTGAATCTGTATTCGGAATTACGGCGAGCCAAACAGGCCCTAAACTCCCAAGCGACCCCAAATTCCTTATTCCTTATTCCAAGCTAGCTTAGATCCGGAAATACTAACCCCAAGATCCATCTGTTCAATCCGCAAAATCCATATTTTTGCGAAATGAAGACGGTTTACGATTCATACTGCAAATGGTATTTAGATGAGACCGTCAAACACGAGTTCGATACGATATAACCTCCTTAGGAACCACACGTCTGAGAAAAGAAACAGTATGCTTCATTCTCGAATCAGAGGATGACTTAACAAGAATCTTTATCAAGGCTTAGGAAATCCAGGAGCTTGAAAATGGTATATACAAAGATCCCCATGTTCCATTCCCCTCATCTCAGCGCACAGAACGTTACATACCCCTCGACATACATCAAGATATACAACAAGAGAAGAAGAAGGAAAAATCTCTATGCAACCCTCTAACCCATTTCTCCACCATCGTCCCCAAGCGCCTGCAAAGAATCCCACTCCATACACCATCCCGCTATCTACCAGCCCATCCACTGATCTAAATTCCAAAAGCGAGGTCGTAAAATCATTGAAAAGCTACAGAATCAGATATATACTCACACCCCCACACAACAAAAAAAAAAGCACAATCAACACCCCCTCTTCAATCTTCACATCCCCAAACACAACCAACAACGCATCACGAGAACCCCCCACCCCTCAGAAAACTCTCCGGCACAGTCTGTTGACAACCCTCAAACGGCGCCAGATCCCTCAACATACAATACCCGTGTTTCTGCCACAAAAATCCCATTAGCCCCTGTCACTTTTTCCCTTGCCAGCTAGTTTAAGTGAGAAGATGGAAACGAAGACTTACAAATCTCGTATGCCTCAAAAATCCCGCGCGTTGGACACTAGAACACATCGCGAAACTACCAACTAAACTCATAAACGCCACAGCCGGTATATGAGCGTGCCACCTCCCAAGTACCTCCGATGCGGACGGCACAAGGCGTTGGAAAAAGGAGGTGATCCATTCGTATACTGGTGTGAGTGTGAAGATTAATGTGAGGGATATCGATATTGAGGAGAAGGCAAGTAAAAAGATGAGGATGGCGAGAGTTTTGGTCTTGGGATATATAGGTGAGCGGAACTTGGTATGTTTATGTTGAGTGACGATCCGGTAACTGAAGTTATGTCCTTGGTAGCGACTCGAAGGGGGAAGGTTTGCATGGTGTCCGCTCTGACCAGGGAAGAAGGGGTCATTCTCTCTATACTCAGAACCCCCCATTCCGAAATTCTGGAAGTCGAAGCTCTGCGTATGAGGACTCCCTTGAAACGCATTACCATCTCCACCCACATCTCCATTCCTCGAGCCATCGAAACCTAAGCCGTCATAGGAAGCTGCATAGGAAGCAGAGGTGGGCGTGTAAATAAAAGCATCCCCTCCATCGGATGAGTGTCGACCCCACTCAGACACCCTCATAAAGCGTCCGTAGATCCACATCTCCAACTGTGACGGCTTTTGACAACTCTGGCAAGTAAGTTCATTCATGTTCGGCTCAATGTACTGGCAAGACTTGCAGACGATACAACAAGCGGGGTCAATACGGGTATATGGGAAATGTGCTTGCTCGAAGTGAAGTTGCAGGGCTTCCTGGTTGGGGAAGCTCTCGCTGCACAGTCCGAGGAATTGACATTGGAAGGAAGCTTCTCGGAAAACTCCAACGGCGAACATGGCACCGTCTTGATATTGAGAGTAGAGAGTTTGACCTATGGGGTCGTCTGCGGAAGAGGTTGGGTAGAATGGTGCTGAATTTGAGGATATGCCTGCCAGGGGATCTAGACCACCAGGTGATTGTATTTCAAGTTGGTTACCATATGGCATGGAGCTTTGTAAAAGTTGTGGATTTTGTCCAATGGCCAAGAATAGATCATTATTTTGCGGCAACGCAGTCATCTGTTCCGACGAAATAGATCTGGCATGCTGTGTTAGAGCAATAGAATTCGAGGGGCGTTGTTGATGCATGGACCTTGGACGTCGTTGCCGAGACTGTATGTTGGCGGAGCGCAGCCTTTTCAGACATTCTATGTCAAAGTGATCTAATGGGCAAGGCACTGCTCGTTTTCGACAAACCCAACATGACCCCAGATACCGTACTAGGGCCGTCTTTGCCTTTGACTTTGGGCTGAACGGTTTCCTTTTCCGCTGCTTGACGGTTTTTCCATCGAAAGCCTTCGGATCGCCTTGGCGAGCGTTAGCAGACGAAGGGCTTTCGTCCCCGCCGAATGATACGATTGAAGAAATATCTGTTGTTGCATCACCAGTTGTAGAAAGAGAATGTGCTCTTTGACGCCCTGAAGATGTGCAGGAGGCGGTGGAGTGCGGAGCAGATGAACCTGGAACGGTGAGATAATTATGTGCAGGCTGCGGTGCGGCTTCTTGTCGTTGAGCGAGCCCTTCTTTCTGTTCTGCAGTTTCGAACTTCATATATAATCTCAAAGCCTTCTCTTGTTTGTCTGGGGGAATTGATATTGGGTAACGAGGGTAAGGAGGATCGGATGGAGAGGGGGATGGTGCTTGCGGGGCAGGGTTGTTGGAGGTCTGAACCCTCAAGTTTGCACGTTGCATTCCAGGAAGGGTCGATGAGGGGAAGTAGGGGCCCTGTCCCATTTGCACGAACTCCAACTTTGGGCGGTCCATCTTGTGGTGGTAAAAGAGGAGGGGAAGGAGGGTAAGGCTGCTAGGCGGTGGATAGGAGACTCGAGGCTGTGAGGTTGGGCGTAGCGAAAACAAGGCTGGAAAGGCAGTGCAGATCGCAAGGGAAAGATGGAAAGTATAATAGAAGGAAGGAAGAAGACGCGGGATATCGGTAGAAAATGAACAAGAGAGGATGACCTACGTCAACGAGGGAGGGGGGGTGGTTCTTAAAGATTTTGATGTACGAGGCTCTGGTTCAGGCGTACTTACTGCAAGAGGGCGTCGCCCGCCTATCTTAACCGACCCAACGCCTGATGAGGAGTTCGGTGTGGAGGTACTTTGCAAAAAAGGGCATTGTGCTAGGCGGAAAAGGGCGACATCGCGACACGGACGCCAGAAGCGAAATGAAACTCCTCATTGACAAATGATGACGCACTATTGAGTGCGCGGCATCTGTATTGCGAATTCATGAGTAGAATAATTTGTTGAAGAACTTTTCGCGATGTTGATGTCACCATGCAAAGGAATTCTTACGGGAGACGGCAGTAAGAGCACCTTGGACTCGAGTAGTAACAGGCCTGATGTGGCTCAGCTTACGCCCCCCCTGAAGGAACTCATCGAGTACGAGAATATCTCAACAACACCATCATCAGATTGCGAACCCCGCACCTCGCCTCTTAATGAACTAAGAGCGAATACGTAGCACATCGTAGGAGGAAAGGGGCGACGGGAATTGGGCAACGTACGGCTTCAACTTGAATCATTTCATTGTATGACTTCCAATTCTGGCACACCTTCAGAAGTTTTGGCGGGCGAGGGAAACATTGAAAGGCCTCGAAAAGGGCGGGGCGGCTCTCGTCAGCCTTGGATTTGCCACCCACGAGAGCCTCATATTGGCACGTGGACCAATGGGGCAAGTATTTGCTGCATGAACGAGTTTGAACGGCCTGGCTGGATCGTTCGTGAACGTGGGGGGAAACGCGGGTAGGCACTTGCTTGGCTGTGATGTTTATATGTACGCTATTGACCGCTATTACTGTAATTTCTTATTGGGTTGAAAGGGTATTGGGTACTGAAGGTCATGGAGAATTGATTGCATTGTAAAAGGTAGCTATCTAAGGTGTTTGTTTATATAAAGAGTGTAAGGTTTAGGCAGACATGAAGCATTTAGGCAGCAGAACTATAAGCGGATCAAATAAGGAAGTGGAGCAAAAGAGAAAGTAGACCCAGCACAACATTTCTTGATTCAATTGACTGCAATGCCCGAACCGCAATCATGTCTTCGTATTGTACTTGAGCTACACCAAAGGACCCCAGTCTCCGAACAGATCGAAGGATTCCTTACTCCACGGCCCCGTGGCCGTCACTGGTCTCCGCTCCCTCCTTCTGCCTTCATTCTCCACATTATTCTTACCCGCAGAAAACGCAGGTACAGGAGGCCGACTTGGGTTTGGCTTGCTCAACTTGAACGGCTGGTTGTTCTTCATCGCTGCAATACTCAACACCATATCGTTACCTCCACTGCTATTATTAAAGCTTTGCCCAACGGGACCACCAACATTGTGCATCAAGCGAAAGCTACCTGTATTGAGTGGCCTGATGTTGGGAGTTTCCTGGGCTGTCGGGGGAGCAGCTAGTGACTTGGGCTCTGGCAAGTTCGCATCGTCTTCGGGTGGCAGGTCTGGAACTGCTACCTTCCCTTGGAGGTCAGAGGAAACATGATCAAAGGGCCCCGGTTGCACAGCTGACTCAATAACTCCGATTGCTGGCTGCTCCTCAACTGGCGGTACAAGTGTAGATGCAGATTGAACATTAGATCGAAAATGCGCCATAGGCGCCTGCAATGCCTCTCGACTAATCGCTGGCGGCGAAGTGGATTTGGATGACTTTTTTTTTGTATTTGAGCCCCGAGCTCCGGATTGCTCAAAGGGTTTGACCGTTTCAACAGAAGTCTGGGCTGAAATAGGTCGTTTATCAGTGTTGTTTCTCTCTTCGACTACGTTTTTCGATTTCATGGTTACACTTCCATCGCTATCTCGACGTGCAATTTTCGTTAAATCTGGGCTTCGAGCAGAGACCACATCCATCACTTTCACAGGCTCATTTGACCGACCAATTGAGGAAGTCTTGGCAAAATCATTAGCCATTCTCATCGAGTCGTCATGTCTCAACTTCTTATCCAAATCCATGGGAACACCTTCAAAACTAGGTCCTGTTATCTCAGCTGATTCCGGAGACAAATCCTGCAACGAAATCCCATTTGGATGAACCTTGGCTTCGACGACTTCGTCAGGAGGCTTGTCTGCCTCGGGAGATGCGATCAAATCCAAAGCCTTGGCCGATGAGGGGTTTCTTGCCGGTTGAAGTGATGTATCAGCCGTGTTTGGTGCAGTATTCTTTTTCAGAGGCTTAGTCAATCGCGTTGCTTCGGCACCGGGTTCCTCGGTTGTGCCAATGGCCTGAACAAGACTATTTTCTGGCAGGTTAACGTCTACAGAGACATCTTTTGGCTCTTTGAGAAGACAAGATAGTTCCTGATTCCGTGCAAGACTCTTAAGCCCAGAAGGATTAGGTGGAATCTTGACGTTGTGTGGCTCTTGAGGAGTATTCAGTGTGGGAGTCGGAGGTTTTGACGACAGATTTTGCTCAGCATTCCGATTTGAATTGGACCTGGACAATGGTACTCTAGCTTTTGGGGGTTCATCAAACATCGTATCGCTATCAGATGTTCCATTCTCAAATATCTCTGCAAGTGAGATTTTGTTCCCCGAGTTCTCAGTCATTCCGGTTCGGAAATCCCGAGTCGTACCTCTCGTTGGGACAAGTGGTTCAGAGATGTGGCTCTTCGCCATTTGAGGAGGGTCTTTTGGAGACAGCCTTCGATCAATATCCTGATAATTAATACCGCCATCAAAAGGGGGGTCGGGAACAGGAGACGAAGCAAAGTCATCCAGGTCTAGGTTCAATCTTGGCTTCTTCCCAGCCAATCGTGCTTGTAAGTTTTCCTCCTGCTTCCTGGTGTACGCTTCGAGGCGCATAGTTGCTTGAGATTGAGGAGGCTCGCTGTTGTCACTAAAAGAGATGCTGAGACTTGACCTTTTTCCAGATGCCCCGGAACTGGGACGTTCCATGCACATCATCTTCCGTGGCGGACGAGACTTGATTCGCAGAGAAGATACTGGCCTCTCAGGCACGGATTTCCTCTGTGGCTCAGCAGGGACATCTGGTAAATGGGCTTTTTTCTTCTGAATTGAATTATTTCTAGCCTCTGGGAGATCTTGCTTAGGTTCAAGCTCAGGTTGTTGCAATCCTTCGTTGTCGCTGTCGTCCTTTTCTGACGAGGAATTGGAATTTCCTTGAATTTGAATTTGAGGAGCTGCTTTTTTACTCGGCTTATTCAGGGACGACGTAGGAGCGGGTCTATTCAACGACAAAGCCACGCCTGTGAGATTGCTAGCATAAGTACTTTTAGGTGGGGGCGACCTTCGACGCTTCATTCTCTGGGCTTTGGCTTTTTCTTTCCTCTGCTTCACAAAATCATCCCTCGACATGGGTTCAGGTGGCGTCGACCCAGTATTATCCGTGTCATCATCCAATGTCAAGTCAATTGTGGCTTTTGGTTTGTGAGATAAAGCTGGTCTATTGAATGGCTCATACCTTATTGTTGGCGTGCTTGACGGCTTCGAGGAGGCCAAGGTCAACTTGGTGCCAGTGAGCAGCTGGGCGTATCCAGACTTGACCTGAGTCGACTCTGGCTTCCTCCTCTTTGGTGGCCGCTCGTTCTCATGGCTACCTTGATTTCCGTTGTTCGAGCGTTGTCGCTCTTCAAACGGGGATGTTGTGGACACAACAGCTCTTCCATGGTGCCCGGAAGGAGTTAACATAGCATTCAACGATTTTGGTTTCAGGGAGTTGGATGGGGTTCCGAAATTTTGAAGCCGGTGGGCAGGGTTGGGCGATGCATTTGCCATGGCTGCCGCCCGTCCTTCCTTCTCTTTCTGTCGCTTGGTCAAAAGCTCGCTGAGGTCTCGGTTTTCAATTCCCGTCTGTTCCTCGACCTGAACCAGTGTATCCCCCCGTTCCAGCCTCAACTCTTCTCCCTCGCCAAAGTCATAGTGCTGTCGCCAATGTGCATCGCCTATGAAGTTATGCCTGTCATCGCATATTATAATCTTCTTGTTGAAGGTATGAAACTTGAGGATTCCATCCTGCCATCGTTTCTGCTTGCGCTTGATGTCTGTGGTGTACAGACATCGGTATTCGATGACGGGGGCGGTATTCTGGGTCTGGGGAACTTCGTAATGCGCGGACATGGTGGTTGCGCAAGCATTGGAGAATGATGCCCTGTTCGCTGAGGGAGTCGGGATAATTCATTGCATATGTTCTTATCCACTCATTCAAGCTGTAGATATCCAGAGGGTCGAGGGCGATAATTGTATAGAGGGCGGGGGGGGGTTTTGGAGAATGACGATGTTGTTGGTTTGTTAGTTGGGAAGTCGCGTCGCGCGATGAATGCAAGGGCACTGCTCGGTACCAGGTACGGGTCCTCACGTGCTGTATAGAAGAAGCCCAGAGAGCCCAGGCAGGTGTGGCCAGGTGCCCCGTTAAGGCTTTCATCACTAGACTATAGGCAGCTGAAGCCTGAGCCTGACAGCCTGTGGCGCACTACAGGGATTGATCTAGGCGTCATCCCAACCCCACGAACCTGTTTTGAAAAGTTTATAGGGATCTGGCCTGGCCCAATCCACCGCCTGTGCTCTGTAGGTACCTACAAGTACACGGTGAAGCTCGAATTCCCAACAGCTTCTACAGCACTAGCACTACGGGTACCGTACAGACAGGTACTCGACCCAAACACCTGTACGTACAGTGACTCGGTAACTTCCCTACGGATTCTGTCGTCCTGCTGCGATTGACATCAGACGCAGAGAACCTCGACCACCTGGTCTCTTCCCTCCCACCCACCTCATATCCGAGGCACCTTCACGCCGCACCATTCTCGTGTTCCAGGTTTCTTTCCACCCTCTGTACTCATACCGTATTCCTTCACCAACTCCGGTGCGTGGGGCTGTGCCGCCATCACCGGTATTGCTTCTTCCTACAGACGACATCTCATTTGTTCCTCATCCACCTATCTACTCCTATCCAAACCTCCCCTACCTCCGTGATCACGTCGTTTCTTGAACTCGTTCGTATCGACTGTCTCCGTTGCAGGGCATCACCAAATATATCTCCTCGCCAAAGACTTGGCAGGCAACCATCGCGACAATTCCTAAACAACACCACACTTCACGGCAACCATGAATTCCATGCAGCGACAGATCGCGAAAGCGAGGGGGAAGGGTGGCGCAGACAATGCCAAAGTGTCTGTGCTACTCAATGATTTTGAAGATGCGGATAAGATGCTGACGAAGGTTGGTTGTAGCTCTGTCCCTCAAGGTTCATGGTGGGGGAGCTCTGCTAATGACGAGAATGTATGGTTTAGATTATTGAAGCTTCCAAAACCTGGCGGGATTCCTGGGTCTCGATTCTCAACATTCAGCTCGGAACGGTCACATTGTTCGAGGAGTTGTACGACCCCATCGTTGGTGCCAGCGATGGCCATGGCCACGAACCCGTCATGACTTCCGAAGCCCAACTCGATCGAACGGCGAAACTGAAAGTTGTATATGCAGATTTGAAGACGGATCTGTTAGAAGAGGTTGCCATGATGGACGCCCGAATCATCAAACCTGCCACGGATGCGAAAGACTTTCTACAACCATTACGAAAGACAATTAAGAAGAGAGAAAACAAGAGAGTGGATTGGGAGCGCTATATTGACAAAGTCAACACTTTGCAAGCAAAGAGGCTGAAGCGAACCGATCGCGAGAATTCTGCTCTGGCAAAAGCCGAGGAAGACCTTGCAGGTGCTGCAGATGTATGTCTCATCCGAAACCCCCCTACGCGACCGCCGACAGTACCTTATATAGACAGGTACGGTCGGCGGTCTCGTGGGACATGTTCTAATTATTATTACAGGCTTTCAAAGTCGCAGACGACAACTTAAAAGAGAAACTTCCTCCTTTAATTGCCGCCGCATTTTCAATCATACCTCATCTCCTGAGCGTTCAGATTATGATACAAAATACACTCCTCGCCCAATATTACACAGTCCTCCATAACTACTGCGAGGAGAATGGATTTCCGTCACCCCCGCCGCCTATGGAAGATGTCATATCTGTATGGGAAATGGACTTTAATCCAATAAAAGAGCAAGTTGAAAGAATAAATTGTGTTGCTCGAGGAAGAGCAGTCCACCAACCCATGGCACTTGGAGAAGACCCAGGCCGCAAAACATCAGTATCAATGACTGGCTTGAATGTTCGTAATGGATTCCGAGCACGAGCGCCTTCCCAAGGAAGAGTCTCAGCACCCGCATCCCCCAATCCAGAGCCTCAAGACGCTCCTCGGCCAATGCGAATACAATCTGCGTCAACAGTCCCAGTTTATGCGCCTCCAGCATCAGAGCCATCACCCGAACCCGAACCACCTTCATACAGCACAACACCAGATTACTCAAAATCCCTCACTCCCGCTTCCACACACTCAGCTCACTCCCCTGCTGGTCCAAGTATGGACTACTTTCAACGCGGAGCCATAGCAAAGAAGAAGCCTCCGCCTCCCCCGCCCAAGCGAATTGGCTCTCGAAATTTTGCTACTTTCGCAGAGGCATTGTATTCATTTGACGGCCAAAGCGAGGGAGACCTCAGTTTTCGAGAGGGTGATCAAATCAAAGTTCTCAAGAAGACAGAGAGTACTGATGATTGGTGGGAGGGTGAGCTGAGAGGCAAAAAGGGTAGTTTTCCCGCGAATTATTGTAAGCTTCTTTAGCGGTGGTTTTTAGAAGATGGGAAAGGCGGAAATAGGATAGGTAAGAACATTTGCATGGGATATCGCATGATTTGATGATTGATGACTTTTGATGGGAGCAGAGGGAATAAAAGCAAGATGCTTTTTTCTGTTTTGTGTGAGAGATAGGTAGGTAGGTTGGTAGGTAGGTGTTGGCGTTGGGAAGGGACTGTGATCCTGGGTGTTACGGTACAGGGTAATTAAAATGGAAATACACGATGCGTAATGGGTGCTCTTGTTCCTTACATGCCAGTATGTAAAAATGTATTGTTCCGTTCTATTGTGATATCTGCAACTGAGTTTCAAGGTGACAGCCTACTCAAGCCCGGTTTTAATTACAGTTTTGTTCTCAAAAACTGGGAACACTACTCCTCTACTACGTACAAAGGTTTACTACGTAGAGAGGTGAGAACGAGTAAGAAATTGGGTGATTCTAGGTATACCGTATACAGGTTCGAGTGAATTTCTTAGGTGAAGCGTGTATGACGTTGTGAGTAGTAAATAATTGTGGTTGGTATTCACTACAGTACCTTATCTTCTAAAAATCATGAATATCTATCTATACCCACCCACCTCTTTCCCAACCCAACGGCTCAAGGCTAGACTAAGACTACAGAGAAGATATTGGCGTTATGGTGTTGTACATGTACTCGTTAGATGGGAGGGTATAGTACTATACAACGTACATACCTCTTGTTTAGGGGTTGAACTCTTTTCTTTGTTTGTTTGTTGTGTTTTGTGGGTTTTGCTGTGGTTTGTAGCTTGTAGCTCAGCTTTACTAGTCACTATCCAGAAGAGCCTAGCGAACTACTGAAAGCCTCTGTAGTATTGAATTCCACCTACTTCGTAGGTTTTTGTCATTTCTAATATGATAGGAATGTCTTTTATTGGGAAATGGACTGTATTTATAGGTATACTCTCTCTTAGTGCACTGAGAAGGATTGTGATATATTCTTGGATGCTAGGTATGTAGACCAGTCTTGTTATGTGCATGGGTTCCTGTTATTAAAGTACTAAAGTGTCCAACTCGAGTAACTGTCTGCCTGCTGGAAGATTATAGATAGTATAACCGTTAATGCTGTATATACTCCTCATGAACTCCAAAGATGGGGGAAGAGGGGGGGATTCTTTCCGTCATTCATTGTTGGTTACGAATAAGATCGGTGCTACATTTATCTATTCCTTCACTGTGACCGAGATCGGGTTTCCCACCTTAGGGTTAGATTAAGCATGGAGAATAAAGGCGATGGTAGTATACGTAGAGATGAAGCGAAATCTTCGAGATGCGTTTTGAGCGAGATCCAAGGTTTTGGTGGTTGGATGGGTGTTAGATGAAGATGTGAGTCTCTTGTTTTTCGTGTCTGGGAGCTGTCTATAGATATGGAAACTACGGGTTGTTTATTGCTTTTTTGGGGGGAGGAGGGGGGGGCTAGAATTCTACGGGGAGTGTTAGGGGGTTGCAACTCCAGCCTTGTCTTAGGTTCTCTTGAACCTTGAGTTAGGTTTGCATCAGATATGAGGTTTGTTCTAGATCTAGACGGTCTTGAGGACTCACCCGCTGTTATGTGATGTTGGAATAGAAATACTAGATTAGACTATTTACTTCCTTCTTTACTACGACTACGACTAGCTAATAAATAAGCTCGTAGACGCTTTTCAATCGCAGTATGTAAGATTAAGATTCCTGGTACAATGCTGTAAGTTTGGTTGGGGCTGTCCCGAAAGTGGGGCTTCTCTTTAAACTGTCTCTTGTAAATTAGCGTCTCTTCTTTTACACCCCCTGTAGCCTAGGGCACCCCCCTAGCGTCATTTGCCCATATTGGGACTCTTCTAGGACCTAGCCCACGCGAGCTAGACTCCGCTTGACGTTAAATAGCAATAAATAAATAAATAAATATAGTACCTAGTCTAGAAGAAATATAGCTTTCAAAGAATCTTCGTAACGTTTTAAATAACCTCGAAGAAGCTGGCGATATTAAGCGAGGGGTATGCCAAGGCTGTCTGTCCGAAAATAGTGAATCAAATATAAGGGTTGTGAGATTATGAGAAGGAAAGAAGTTAGAGACGACTAGAAGTAGCATTATGTTATGTAGGATCCTATTCAGGCCGAGTCTTCGGGATTATTAATTCTATATTATAGAGATCGTACTACGGTAAGCTTGTCCCTAAAATAACTGGTTTAATTCATTTCTTAGGACTTTGCGAGATCTTGTTGCCCGATTCGGATACAGATCTGTCATTACATTGAGGATTATTAAGAAGTTTAACGAACTACTGTGATCTGGCGTAGACAAGTAGTTTTTGGCCAATCTTTCCCCACGAGATCGTATTTCCGGACTATGTCTACTTACAGCCCGCCTCCACCTTCTATTCTATAGAGGTAAATATATATCGCTTAAGAGAAGCTCAAACGCAGTCGCTTAATTATGCTATGCTTCTCTCCGGTACTATGTACGTAAGAAGTGGGGATTGATTACACCCTTCAGAATCTTCTTGCGAAGGTTTCCTTCCTCTATCAATTTTTAACTCCGCTTTGAGTCCCAAACAAACTACTACCGTCGTAACAACCTTCTTACAGCTTCCGCCCACCAAAGTTTTATACACCAATAACAAAGCCAAGGCACTTTTTCAACCCACGAATCGCGATCTACAAGGGATTTACATCGAAAACACTCTACAGACAGCTCAAAATATCCATCTTCCTTTTCTGGATGTAATAACCCTGGGTTTTTATCCTCCTCCGTGTCGTGTATGTTCCATGTCCAATAAAACTAGAACGCTGCGATCCCGAAAACACTCTGTGGTCCGAACCAAAGAGCCCTTTCATACACAACATCGAAATAGCCTCAACCTTCAACCCTAATACCACAGAATACGACACTTTAACGGAAACCTTGTCACTTTCTTGATCTAATTGCGTTGGTTCACTAGATGAGACGTGGGAAAAGTGATCATGAGGAAGGATTTGTGAAGTAGTCTAGTCGGACTCGACTCGAGGGCGCGGAATATCTCCACATATGAGCCATGTAAAAAAAGATTGAGACTGAGTCTGGTGGGTATTTGTGGTAAGTGAAATCAGTATAAGTGTCGTTAAAGATCCGAATGGCTGGCTGCGATTCCTCCTGAAGAGCGAGATTTTTATTTCTACGGTTAAGCGAGAAATGGCACAGTAAGCACCTGCATTCAAATTATCATTCTCGGTCCGTACAACTAAATTCTTTGGATGGTGAATTTTTGTTCTTGCAAGGCTTATTTCATCACTGGATCTTGTTCCCCTTCCCCTATGTGAAATCTTGCGCCTTCTGTCACAAATTGACGGATTTGGACCTAGCTCGTCAACTATAGAGATTTCAAAATACGTGGATGGCAGGGAAGAATAACTATCATGTTTCTTGAGCTAAGGTGCCTCAGTGCTTTTAATACTGAAGCTGTTACTAATATGTCTCTTTAACCGAAATTGATTTTGGGATCCCAACTTCTGTGCATGTATCAGATTTCCGCATACCAAGGAATGGTATAGCGGCTTCCAATGAGCCATCTTTCTGCATGTTGTACATATTTTATCTACACAGTCGTAAAGGGGACATGGAACTATTGATCAAGTCAGTTATCTCACATCCTAACCCACCAGAATACAAACTCACCATCTCAACACCACCCGTACCCTCCCTAAGCAATCCAAGAGTTTCCTTAAACAGCTCCGTCTCTCTAAACTGCATATGTGCCTCTTTGCTCTCCCACCCAATAACCAACACCACAGCCTTCCCCTTCACACTCCCATCTTCATGCTTTCCCACATCCGTTTCGACACACTCTCCCCACGCACCACCATAGCACTTCTCAGGTATACCTACAGCGTTCATAAACTTGCCGACATTATCCAAGAATTGGGGTTTCGTGTCTAGGAAGGTCGCAAACTCAATAACGGGTGCCTTGCTAAGGACCGTAGGCGGAAACGGCTTCAAGCCAACGTGGTGGAGGTGCACACCTTCCATGAGCGCACTGAGATTGTTTGCAAAACTCTCGTATACAGCCGATTTTGTGAAATTAATGTGTGCTTCGTAGGAATCCCAATCTGTGGTTACATCATACATCAGCATGCTTATTCCATATTGGCTTCAACGGATTGGCAGGGAGCAATTGAGATGGATGAGGTACCGATAAACCATAATAGTAAGTCTGGACTTTCCATTGCGCGGCCATAGTATGATCTTTGATATCCCTCCTGTTTCTTGACCACGGAGAGGCCTTCCTGCCAGGCTTTGGCGGCATCGGTTGAACCCGAGATGTCCACGCCGGGCTTGAGCGTGAGATAAGCGATTTCCGTTACTAGAGTTCCCATGATGTTGGGTCTTGCTTGGTAGCTGAAGAACGCTGTGATTTGTAACTTTGTACTGGGAGATCACAAGGTTCCAATTGAGCAGTTGGGCTCGTTGGTTTTATATGATGGTGTTTAAGATGGGGAAGGAAGGAGGGGGGGGTTGGAGGGGCACAATAGGCGGGGTAGCTCTAGCTTTGACGTTTCGCGTTAATGTACAGCAAGAGAATTCACATGCATCTAACTTCTCATGCTGCTTGATTAATAAGTCTGGGAAGAGAACATTCCCCTCCATGATGGCCTAGCACGGGTTTATTGGGCAATGTTGCACTAAGTGGCTAGCTTCTCAATGACGTCACTTTTAGCATCGCTGTAAAGTCAGTTTTCAGAGCTCTACTAAACATTCAAATCATTGAAGAACGTAGGTAAGTATGAGAAGGCAAAGGACTGAAAGTAGTGTCCCATAAATGATTCCTTGAGTATTTGCTATCTAGGTTATTAGAGATAAGATCCCATACCTATCTATTGAAACGCCATAAGCACTCATCCATTATCCTTCTGATCCCTAAACAATCACAAAACCTCAACCAAAACATCTCTACATTTCATCCCATTCACCAACGTAATATCATTAGGACAAGCACTCAAAACAACCACACAATCCGCTTCCGCTCTCAACACAACATAAGAATCCACCCCACTAACCGGCTCCCTCAGCTCAATACCTCTCTTCCCCTCCCCAAACTCAACTTCAACACTCATAAACAAATTCAGCGGGTCCGGAACATCTCCCTCAGCAATCTCAATCCCTAACTCCACAGCTGCTTCCCGACAGTTCTCAGCACACGACCGATGCGCAACTTGCAAGTGTGAGTAGCGCTGCGGATTACACGCCGGGAATAAAGTGTCGTGGACTCCGCCTGAGGTGTCTTCAAGCAGGGTGAGTATGGGCTGGCAGTGGTTGGTGACGAGGGTATCGTTGATTTGAGGGCGGATTTTGTGGAGGGCGGAGCGTGTTTGTGACATGCTCATGTAGGATGATGGGGGTTTGGGAGTGAGAATTTTGGAGGTGGTGAAGGCCCAGGTGTCGACTACTTGATTGCCATAAGTGTTGTGGATCTTGATGGTCTGGTGGGCTGGAAGTTGGATTGCTGTGCCGTGTTTTGCGGGAATGGTTTGGGAGGTTGATAGGGACATTTTCTTGGTGAGGATATGTGTTAGAGGTATAGCAAGCATGGGGATGGTCGCAACACAAGAGTGTTCAAGAAGGGCAATGGTAAAGTGGGATGCAAAAGGTATATATACCCCCTCCTCACCAACCCCCTGGCAGCCATGGCGTAATTTCTTCTTAATCAAATCCTGTTTACCTTGCTGCTTTTTAATATAGACAAACCTTTGACTTATGTAATATTTCGTATATTACTGCTTAGCGTCAATTACTGCTTTCAAGTCCTATATCGGGAAACATAGCAATTAGCCTATCGAGGTCGTTTATATATTAAATCCCCTACACCTTACCCTATTAACAATAATTGCGTAGACCTTAATCGTAATAGGCGCTAATTACATATAAAGAGAGTAACACTTTGAATGTAAGAAATTAGTAGATTTGTTTTGATATTAGTATTAACGAGTTTTTACGTACAAATTTGTTGTCTTACCTAAGTATGCAGGTACTTTTCTAAGAGAATTGATTTTTGTGTTAGTAAAAAATAAATAGGTTGCTTAAGAGGTTTACATTAATTCGTTTTTGTGTTTACTTCTATTTACTTCACTAAGAATAAATTGCTCGTTAATTTTGAGTATCTGAATAGTATGAATTTATTACAAGATATTTACATTTAAAGTATATACTCGTATGTACCTAGTACTAATTATAATTAATAACAATTACAAGCAAATATAACTAATTCTAATTGACCCTTTCTGAACAATATTACCAAACGTACATGCTCAATGTGAACTCAAGAATGGCTTCCTGTTTTGCTAAAGAAATCTTCCATGTTTGAAACAGCACATTGACTTGGAAGAAATCAGACTTGAACCATAACAAGGTAAGGTACATCCAGCCTACAACTACAAATTCTTTTTACATCCCTACACTTACAAATGTCTCGTTTCTTTGCTTCCCTTGATCAAGCCTTCAAGTTCACTCGTAACCCACCCACCGTAAAAGTCCCCTGGCTGCGGCTTCACTTCCTCGCCATCGAAATAGCATTGCCACGGCCCAGCATAGAAACTCAAATGGTCCCTCAGGGCTGCAAACCTCTCGGTTGGGTTTTCATATGTCCATATCCTATCTCTGACAGTTTCTTCTTTTCCTTCTGAGCCTTTCGGGGTAGTGATAGAATAGTATTTCGCCCATCCCTTCCATTCGCAAAATGTAGAGCGTTTCGTCGCTACAAGTGGCACGAGGATCGAGGACGGTGGGAGATAGTATGCTGCCGATTTTATTAGATTTTATTAAATTATGGTGTGTGGAATTTACTGGGTGGATGATAAGTTTCGAGAACCCAGTATGCTTCTTTGGTATCTGCTATCAATTGTCCTCGCCACTTTATTTGGAGGTGTCGAGAGGTACGTTCAATGAGAGGTGGACGAGGGAAGGATTGGACATTTATAGGTACTTTTGGAGGCATCTTGAGATTTTCAGAGTTCGGAATTTTGTTAAGAAAGAAATCAGATTGAAGATATAAAATCAGAGAAGAGAGAAATATAATACAGATTGAGTAATGCAAGTTAGGTGGATTTTGAGTCATTCGGGTTGTTGAGTTTTGAAGAAGTGAATAGATGAGGGCGAGCTTTGGAGGGGTAATATGTGCGCTTAAGTCTTAGTGGGCAGCCGTAGCCGCTTGGTACGTCACAAGCTCAAGCGGCTTCGCCATTCACAAGCCACAAGGCTGCAACACCCAAACCTTATCCTCGTCCCACCCACTATCAAGACGTCAAGTTCCTGAACATCATACTTGGTACCTCCCCTCACTCCAGCAACATAGCGCAATCATGTCGGGGCTCGAGAAGGCGTTGTTCAACCTCAAGGTAAGTCCGTGTTTGTCTCGATACTCTTCAACACCCGAGAACCGACAAACACCTTGGGTCGGTATCTCCAAATTCCTGAGATTATGCTAATGATAGCATGAAATAGTTTACCACGAAGCAACTTAGTCGACAAGCCGCGAAAGCTGGTAAAGATGAGAAAACCGAGAAGGATAAGCTCAAGAAGGTAAACTTTCGCCCGCCAGCCTCCCAAGCCAAGTCTAATCGTAGAATAGGCAATTCAACAAGGCCACAACGATATCGCAAAGATATACGCCCAAAATGCGATCCGAAAACAAAACGAGAGACTGAATCTTTTGAGACTGGGGAGCAGAATCGATGCCGTGGCTAGCAGAGTACAGACCGCAGTTACGATGCGCCAGGTCACAGGCAGTATGATGAACGTGGTTAAAGGAATGGACCAAGCAATGAAGGCTATGGATTTAGAGAAGGTACGACTTCTTTCTTTACTCTACTATGGTTTTCGCAGTACCTAATGTGTGGCGCTTTGATAGATTTCCGCAGTAATGGACCGCTTCGAAACACAATTCGAGGATCTTGATGTTGCAACCGGATATTACGAGAACGCAACCACATCAGCCACCGCGGTCGGTACCCCACAAGAAGACGTCGATAGACTTATGAACCAAGTCGCAGATGAGGCCGGTGTTGAACTACACCAAGAAATGGAGGGCGCCAAGCCAGTTGCTTCTACGCCGGTGAAGAGTGGACCGACAGAGGTCGAGGAAGATGGGTTGGGCGAGAGGTTGAGAGCACTACGGTCTTGAGCGGTTCACGAATCTTGGGTACGGATAATCATACTTGCGACTGTGTCTTTTCAGATGCACGGTCTGGATTACTGTGCTACTCGCATCATACATTGTTTTTGAGAAGTCAGATATGGGTAAAGTGGGTTGGGAGGCGTTGGTTCTGCTGGATTTGATACTTCTTATTATTGCAGATGAGACTGCGAATCGATCTATTCATTCACGCGCTTAATATCCCCATGATTCGCTGTTTATTTTAATCTAGAGATTCCTTCCTTAATTTCTTCTGCTCATCGCCATCTCTTTTTCTTTTCTCTAACTTGCGGTGACGAGGATGATCTAATGACCTATCCAAATAAAAGCAAAATCGGATATATTTTGGGAGTATTTAACCTCCTCTAAAACAGCACGAAACCACATGCATCAAGTACATCCAGTACAAGGTCGACCACAGGACCGACATCCACGACTTTCCTGTACTCGTACATGAACCAGAGATGACTCAAGTTTACAACGACGGTTTGGAAAGTTTTACAGCCCCTTTCCAAGTACAACAAATTTGGCACAAGTACTACAGCAATGCTACTCTCCGATATCCTCCTAACCGATTGATTTCTTGAATAAACAGGTTTATAAATATAAAGCAAATGCTATTAACTGTTACTTAAGTACACCCCTAAAATCTGTCAAAGTAAAGAGGTTGTAGGATTTTATATTCTTGTCGCTAATATAGTACTCGGCTTTGTTTTATCAGATTTAATCGATCTACTCTTTTGATCGACTTGATTCTTCCTATAATCAGTAAGCTAATACTTCACTTTCCTATACTTACTTGCCGAGGTTGGGCCGGAAGGGGGTACAGGCCACTCAATTCATTCTTAGATCGAAGACGAGGCTGAAAGGTTCATCTTTAACTTCAACTTTGCCAACATCACTCTTACAACACCACATCTTTATAATGTCGCAACATTGGAAAGCGGTAAACGCACCACAGACGCATCAGGCACCACAAGAGCCACAGATTGATACTGCGCCTCTTACGTATTAAACTACGACAGATGTTAGAACATCCTCGATTTGCGACAGCAGATAAGTATTCGACAACACAAAACAATTCAGATGAATTTGTAGTCGATAACTAAATCACAAACCAGACTTTGAATACTCTACTTAGAAACACAACAGAACGTAAAAGCTGAAAAGGAGGGCTAGTATTCCGGCCTAATTACGCTGCCTTCAGAAACAAAAGGCGTGAAAGCACTGGTAAAAATTTCTTGCGATTATCGTTTAAAAGAATCTTATGCCTACGCGAAAATTATATACTAAGATCTGAAATATCCCGGAGATAGAACTGGTTGAACCTTTAACGCAATTAAGAGATATAGACGATTTAAGAGCTCTTTAGTAATCTGAGTTCTACGTTTACTTGCGGGTTCCTAGATAGTCTCTGTTCTCTTTCAAACTCCAAACAGTGTCTTTAAGAATGTTTCACAGATCCTACCAGGTTTCTAATTACGATTTTGAAAATGGTTTCTCGCAGCTTACCTTTTTATTCAGTGCTCCACGTATGGTGGCTATTGCTTTCGCTATTAAAATAGTAGGCTAAGGCTAAGTACTAACATTAGGTTTCTATAAATTGCAATATTTGACAAGTAGTACTTTATTGGCTAGGTAAGTATTTCTAGTACGTATATCCCTAGGAATAAGTACGAGCGTAATTCTAGTTTTGGTACTTGAACTTTTAGCTGACCATATTAACAAAGAATGGGATAGCATAGCCCCGTCTACGAAATCATTTAGAATACTCGCGATATATAAATCTCTTCTCAATTTTTTTGTAGGTACGAGTACGACATGTTGTTATCCTAACAGCGCTCTAACAACATATTCCGCGAGGGTACCGAGATTATCGCGATTAAAGAAAGAGAGTGATCTACAAAAGGCTCGACAGGAGATAGTACATCTCAAAATACAATTGGAAAAGGAAAGGGAGATAGAGTTCAAATAAGATAACGTTATTGGAAAAAAGGTCGCGGTTAAGCTCGCCATCTGGGAACCGTGTTAGTAAATACCTGCTCCTTCCGCGCGGTACGGCCCGGGGTACAAAATCTCCATAGGAGTCGCCATTAACTGCTCCTAACGGTGACTATTAAACCTCAAATTGTTCTAAAGACACACTTCTCTATTTACTTGTTTACGCGTCTACTTATTTACTCGTTTCTAGGCAGGAAAGGGAGAGAGAGGGGGGGGGAGGGGGGGCAATAGGGGTATAATAGAAGTAGAGAGACTTACAGAACGACAAGGTAGGAAAGTACTTACANGGGAGAGAGAGGGGGGGGGAGGGGGGGCAATAGGGGTATAATAGAAGTAGAGAGACTTACAGAACGACAAGGTAGGAAAGTACTTACAGGGAGGGAGGGACAGGTAAAAACGGCTAAGTACTTACAGGTGGTTTACAAAGGTAAAGGGGGAGGGGGGAAGGCCCTATAATATAGACAGATAGCTTACGGAAAGCTCGGGTTACGCTTAAACTCTCTTCAAAGTTAATCGGAGATGCTATTGACCCTCTGTCCTAGTCGTATCCCTAGGATCCCTACTTCTTTGTACTTAACTAGGACGGTGTTAGGTAATACCGGCTCCAGAGTTCTCAGAGGGATCTGGTAGCTTCTCTATGTCTCTAGTACATAATAACAAAATCGAATACTATAAAAAAAGGCTTTCTTGAAAAATAAAACTAGAATATAATAAGCCCGAGTTCAGATAGACGTAACATCTTGTTCCAAAACAAGACTATATGAGTTCAATAATGTTGTAATTCTAAAGTCTCTAAAGTATTAGTATAGTTAGCCGGCTTTACCATCAAAAATATCATATTCCAAAACTCTGGTGATAACGTTGTAAGCGAAAAGACTAATATTCTGGCTAACAGTTTGCTCTTTTACTCGTCTTCCACCTAATACCACAACCCATAATTCGCTTTTCGTCGCTGGGGACAAAAAGATGTTATTCTTGTCCTTCGTGTTCATTTTCACATAAGCTATCAAATTGTTTTGGTTATCTCTATCAAAAATCTCTCCCCACAATCATACAAAGACTATAGGTAGCCTCTGGGATGTGCGACGGAAGTCACGTCGTTTATTTGATTAGACCTCGAAATTTGGAACTTGTTGAGTTAGTGCACTCCCAAATAGCTGCCTGGAAAATAGGAAAATACGGGAACCTTTGATAGAGTAGCGAGCTTCGTACAGTCAATTTCAAATAAAGCGTAATCTGACGATCCCAGAATAGTATCCAAAAGGAAGGAGAACCACAATGTACAAGCGACAGCGCAGTAGGAAGACGCACTGACTATTAAAGAATCCGATGAAGGATGAAGGATGAATGTAGCAGAACAGAAGTCTCTTCTCAATCTGGTTACAAGCTTTCTCGCATCGTAATCAGAACATGCATCTTGAAGTCACTAAGTACTCAATCCCATAGCCAAATATGAGTTGTCGAGAAGTCAGGGTGATTGTGATTTTCCCATTGCATGACTCGGAAGAAGCTTCGTATCGCTCGCTACAGTATCTCTGTGGGGGAGCAGAATTGCATCGACAGGGTTGGCGAGTACGGTAGATCAATCAAATAAGCTTAATCCAGATACGAGAAAAGCAGAGAACATTTAGGAGGAACATTGATTATTGAAGAAATCCAATCATCATCAGAATTTACGAGGTTCAAAAGGACTCTGATTAGGTGATTCAGAACAAATCCAAATTGAACTGGTGCAAATGAAATTATTCATGGTCCCTGGTGCGTAGGCTTACGTCTAATTCCATAAACACGGGACGGCGTCTGTACCCCAAGTGGAGATTAGACGCTGAAACAGCACGTGGCCCAATTGAGTCTAATTGGTTCTAGAATCAGGATAAAAAAACTAAAAAATACCAGAAGATGAAAGATTGTATATCCATCAAAAGAATCAGAAAACAATGGTCCCATCCCACGTGAAAGAGTAGCGAAAGATGATCGTCTGAAAGGGAGTGCAATGAGTTGAAAATGGGATGCTCTAGATCTCGACTCAGGGGTTGAGGTCATTTTAGGGTAATGTCATCTGTGCTTGGACTTTTTCCCAGTCGGAACTGGTCCCCTTTTTGACCTCTATTTCTGGAAGGAGGTCAAGGATCATGGTTCGGCCATGGCTGCTGACGCGCCGGGTAAAAAGGGGTTGGCCAATGGCAGTTGAGATGGCAGGCGCCACATATGGGGAGCCCCCTGAAAAGGATGCGAGACTCATCCGTTCATCACACCTTCAACCACACCTCGATCAGGGACCGAGGCCATGGCCTGGAGCCATCTTCAGATCTTCTCCACGTTCTCAAGGCGCAAGCAAAAGAAACAGACAAACCAAGAAATCCACTCCATCGAGACTCGAGTCGATTCAAGAAGCCAAGCGGGCACCCAGATGTGGCCACGATATGCCATGATATCAACCTCTTGTGTGATGGCTCGAGCATTGCAATTGGAGCCTGAGCTCATTCCATACCAGCGCAAGCACAGTACATGGTACAATAATATGTCCAGCTTACTTCGTACTTATTTGCTCCTTCGATCCTTCAGTCCTTCAGTCCCTCTTTTTGAGTTTTGTTCCTTGAGCCGCCGGCATAATCGTTCTCCTGCCATTTCTCGTATCCAATTTTGGGACCGTTTTACAACTCACGTGGGCTCCGAGGGCTCAAAGTTGGGCTCATTCATGAAGTTATTGTTTTCTACTTTGAAGTACGACTTGCAACCATCCAATGATAATGCATCTGATAGTAGTCTGACAACAGATTGGGGTAACTCGCAGATGAAGAACTGTACCTTGCGGCTGTAATGTACTCCGTAGGACCATGACTTTTTTGGTGTCTTTTGTTAGCCGCAACCCCTTTGGGACGAGAGTACTGGGATGGGTGCAGAGGTCGCATAGCAAGAAACACTCCATCCACTCCTCACGGAGGCTGTGAACACCCTCATCAATCGAGTGGACTCGGGACTTGTACCAAGCCGGAGAATCCGCCCGTCAGGCGAAGACTCCGCGCGAGACGAACAACCTTGCCCATGATGCCAATGGAAATGGGTCTGTCTTGAGCGCCGAGCAACTTTGCAGGCCATTTAGGTTTTCGTAAGAGTGTGCTGGGCACGCATCGTGAGCCGTGTTCACCAAAATCTCCCGCATGTTGCCTCTCTCATTTGTTCTTTACTAAGCTAGTGATGTGGATCTGTTGGAGTTCAACACCGTAAGAACTGCCGTCTTCTCCTCTTTTCTCTTCACACCTCGCTGTCGCTTTCTCTCTTCTGTTCGAATCTTTACGGGACCGTCTCTTAGTACAATTCCTTGTGTCTCTGACACGTCCACTCGTTCAACTATTATGCAGTCAGATTAATAGGGATTTACCAAGTTCTCGTCTTCCACGATTCGCTTCGAAGGATTCATAATTTCCACTGTCGGTTCGAATATTCTACTCGTAGGAAGACTTTTGATATTCGTTCCGTCAGCAAACGCCATTTCATCTTACTAGGATTTATCCGAAAATCGAAACACCCTCGTATTGTGCATCCCGATCAGGTGTTGAAACACACACATCGACACCCGCCAGATACCCAGTGGGGGTGAAAGCACATCAATTCAATATAGGTCCATCAAAACCCCCGTGGGTTTTTGGTACCGCGAAATACAGCACTTGGTACCTCAAATAATAGTTAATAATTCAAGATGGGATGGTTTGGAGATTTGCCTATGGCGTCGGCCTTTGCGTAAGTATCACCAAACTAGAAAACTACTCTTAAAGTGTCTAACGGTTTTTAGCATCGTCTTAGGTTGTCTCATCGCTGCTACTTTCATCGCCGGTTTTATCAAAGTTTGCTACAACAAGAGAAGGTATATAAAGAATCCTAAGGACGTAGTAGGAGATACTTACACAATTTCAGACTCACCAAGCACGAAAAACTGGATGAATTGAAGCTCAAGGGAAAAGGACCAAAGGGTGCTGATCAAGAGATGTTAAACACGAGAGAAACAGACGAAGGTGATCTCTTTGGGGTAAGAGCATTGGAGGCTGGATACTTTGGTGGTGTGGCCCAATCGAGACCAAGTTCCCCAGCTGGATCCCGTATAAACTCTTATGTCCTCACACCAAACGGAGAAAACTCAGCAAACAGTATTACCTCAGACCTGCCACTTAGCCCTGGTATCCAAGCGCCAAAAGCTACAAAGCCAAAGCCATCACCTCTTCGACTTCAACCAACTGACCCGAATTTCAGACCTCCATCTGCCGGAGGAAAAAGCCCTTCCTATATGCCTCTCTCCGGTCTCTCGAAATCCCCATCAAGCGCTACTCAACAAGGTGCACCAGCACAAGACTGGGTTTCTCCGATCGATGCTCGTCTTGAACAAACTCCTCAACCCACCAGCCCAGCAAGTATTGCAAGTTCTCAAAGACCCAAATCCTATTTGCCAAAATTGAACTTCCCGGAAAACAAAGAGCCTGATGTTGATCCTGCCCCAGAAGCTTCTAAAGTGAAAGAAAGGGTAATCGAGGTTCGTTCTCCAACAACAAGTATTGCTCCAGGATCGCCAAATTCCACCTACCAGCAATATATCCCCACTCGAGCCGGCAGATCACCCGCGAGATCTATGTTCCCAACCGAAAGCCATAGAGACCGAAGCTCCTCGAGAAACCGAGGTACCAAGGAAGACAGAAGCGAAAGTCCAGCAAGGGGAGCAAAGCAATCGTCTCCTCTCGCCATGGACAATGACCATTTGCCAGAACACAACCCAGAGTGGGATAACGAACGACCCGTCATCCGAGATTCTATCGTGAGCAAGAAAGGAGTATCCGTCACTACACCAACCGAGACAACATTTTTACAGGCCAAAAACTCCAACAGAAAAAGTGATGCCTCAAGCGTATACAGCACCACCAATGGTGCAGACTGGAACGCACGCGAACAAGGTGCGAAAGTCAAAGAGGGATCCCGTGGCCGTACCAATTCTAACTCACCCAGCCGCTCCCGTTCTAGATCGAAGTCACTAGCAGGTGCCCGCAACTCTATCCGTCAATCCTCTCATCAGCGCAACGACTCTTCCAAGTCCTCTCACCGAATCAGCCGTGATCGCGATCAGATCCATTACGACCCGACACCCCAAAGCCGCAATAGAAGTGGCTCCGTTCATGGACGAGCCGTAGACTTCAACCAACCTCGAGCATCACCATTCTCAAAAGCTACCGCTACCCCACCATCCCATTCGCACTCAACCTCAGTCACCTCATTCGGCCCCAGGAAACCTTCGCTTGGACTAGGCTTGCTATCTGCAGCACCACCTGCTACCCAAGACAAGGATCGCTTAAGCGTGATGTCAACCGCCAGAGGACGTTCGGATTCCGATGCCTCGCAAGCAAGCATGGGCGACTTCTATGACGCTTATTACCGACAATCCACCATTTCCCATCGTGCTTCGGCCTACCAACCTGCGCGCCCAGAGTCGTTCACAGCCGATTTGAGCAACCAAAGTGTTATTGACAACGGCTTCAATTTCGATCTTGGCGTCACGCGAAAGGCACCTCCTCCTTCCTTAGGCCTGAAGCTTTTGGACGTTGGAGAGACCATTGTCGAGGTACCCAGTCCTGATCCTACCGCCAGCGAAAGATTTCCATCCCGGGTTTAGAATTTATTTGAAGAAGATGAAAAAGAACAAGAAAAGCTTGGAAGATGAAGCATGAGGTTAACGGTGAACGTAATGGCAATGATAGATGTGGGGGGGAACGGATGGAAGATTGGGAATCATGCGGAGTTTATATATAAAGGAAGTCAACTTTTTGTGTATTGTTTATTTTCATTTTTGTTGGGTGGGAATTTTCAAAAATTTCATAACAGTTACGATATCACCACCAGTCTCACGAGACATCGTTTTCATTTTTTGTTTCTTGTTTTTCCTGTTTTTTTTGAGCGGTTGCATTCACTCGCATTTTGAGTTCTTGTTCTTGCTCAGCCTTGTTGTTTTGTTGTTGTTGTTGTTGTTGCAGCCTGATGCGGCGCATTTCTTGGGCAAATTTAAGAGCGGATATCCTATCTCATGATTTTCATATCACTTTTTTTTAATGTAATATATAGAAACCGAACGTTTCCGTCATCTGAGTACCGCGGTGATACTCGATGGACAGTGTATAAAAGTTGTCCTGTGATCCTCTCTTGTTCTGCGCGATTTTTCCAAATCGATTTACTACTCTACATACTCGTTCTACACTTACAATCCCTTTGTTCCCGATCTAGTAATGTGGGTTTTTTGACGGCTGGTTGCAAACATCATGTTCACAAAGCCACCCCACTTCACCTTATTATCTTTCTTTGTTCTCGAAACTGTACCCTACTGTCTTTTTTTTTTTTCTTAGCCCAGCTACTGTACTTGGATTCATGTATCGCCCTGTCAAGACAATCTTCTACGCTTCCAGGCCTCGGCCATAACTTTCTAGCTCGAGTCTTCGTATTACGTTCCTTGCTATCTCATATATCCTAGACGTCAACAACCCGTCTTTTCCCCAGTTTGGCTTTGTACCGCGCCGTCATTCTCAATGTCGGGTAGGAAACCCGGAAACTATGGCCGTGGCAATGTGAGGAGTCCGCCCTACGGACGGAAGCCCTCGTCTGGGACTCCGCCAGGTATGTCGTTTCCCAAAATCTCCACGGCTCCGAGTGAAAGGAGAAAGTTAATGTTGGGTAGGATTCTTCGCATTGGGTCCATGGTGTGATGTCTGTTGCAAGTTACTGGTCATCATACTGTTCTTCGTGAGCGTCTTTACCGTCATATCGACGGCGTGGGATTGGAGGACGAGCTTGTTTGATAGGCCGGTGGATAGTGCTGCTGCGTCGAGTTCTTATGAGAAGGTAACGCCGTTGTTTGAATCGCCCGTCAGGGTGGATACTGGGAAGTCGACGAGTGAGAAGAAGGAATCTGGATGGGAAAGTAGTGGTTGGGAATCCACACCAAAGGAACCTACGACGCAGAAACCATCAGAACCTGCCATCCCACACACATCACCACACTCCCAAACCACAGATCCCCTCTCGCACAACGGTCCAACGACTCTCGATCTCTCGGCACCAATCCCCAAAGTCACAGAGCTAACCACCCACCATGGCCCAACACCCCCAACCCCCCTCTCCCCAGCCAACACGCTCCTCCCCGCTCTACAAAAACACTGCAACTACTTTCCCCCCCTCCCAACTGCACTCTCCTCCCTCTTCCCCATCGACGGCCTCCCCATGTCCAACGACCACGACATCTTCGCCCACCTCATCAACACAGGTCTCACGCTCTACCGGGCGCCCATCTTCAACCTGCCGCTTATCCGCTCGCGGCTCTTGCCTCAAGCTAGAGTCATCGCCTCGTTACTCGAACCCCAGATCTTAAGGAAGAATCTTGCGGCTTCGGTGGAGGGGAAGAAGGAGGTAGGGGAGGTGAAGAAAGCGTTGGAGGAGTTTATGAATTCTTTCCCTGGAGCGAGGTTTGGCGGGAAGGTGCAGAGGGTTGATGGGGTGTTGGAGAGGGAGTTGGAGGGGTTTAAGGTTGTGTTGGGGGGGGGATGGGAATGGGAATGGGCATGGGAATTTGAAAGCGGGAGGGAAAGGGAAGAGGGGGTGGATATCTACCGTCTTCGGGAATGGACATTCAAATAAAGACCACGAGATCCGAACCGAGGCGTTAAAAGTCCTCAAACGCATCTACGAAATCGCAGACTTCTACCACACCCTCATCACCACCACCATCAGCAAACACGACGCCTTCCTGCACCACGGCACCGCGTACTTGCAGTTCATCCACGCTGTGGGCGTCAGCGGGGGTGCCACCCAGCCGTATAAGTATGATGAGCAGGGCGTCAATGCGTTTTGGGAGTTGAGCGAGAGTATGATGGCGGGATTGCGAGCGAGGGAACGGAGATTGAAACAGGTGCTCGAGCAGAAGGAGGGGGTTCTGGAGAGGTTTGAGGGGAGGATGGAGGGCGGTGGGAGGGAGGCGAGGTGTGAGGTGGTGAGTTTGCGGAATTTGATTGGGTGGGTGCAGCATAGTTTTATGGTGGAGAGGATGTATGATGAGGGGTTTTTTTAGATGGAGGGGTTGGTGGTGGAGTTGTGGTGGAGTTGGACGGGTTTTGATGAGTTTGTATAAGGTCCCCTTTTGCGTTTTGTAGGTACTGTAGCTAGATGTCTAGATTTTAGTTTCACATGTTTGTAGAAGTGAGGCGTTCAAATATTAGCTTTGGACTTACTGCATATTAGATTCAACCTCCCTGAATCTCGCGGGGTTTTCTATCGTTTTTCTTTCAAACCCTTCATATGCGAGGACGAAATCCGAAGCAAATTTAGTCTACACAGAAGAATCTCATTGCTGTTAGAAGGTCCTATACCAAATAACATTAGTAGTATCATGATATGTTTTCCATGATTCCCAGTGAGTACTGTAATTTGGCAAAACAAAGATAATGCGTCGCATTTTTTATTTTGGGGCGCTACAGTACATAGACAACCGTCAATGAACACATATCACCACCGCTGTATATCCATAATGCCTAGCTGTCTGCCATATGAACCCCGACATTCCGCGCCAGGTTGTACATGGTGAAGGATATTCCAATGACGAGAGTGGTAACCTGAACTGTGACGTTTAGATATCTCCGTGTCCACCCAACTCACCATCCGAGTCTTCGTCCGCTTCATCCTCTAAAGCTTCAAATAGCCGGACGGCCAGCTCTTGAAAAGACTCGTCCTCCTCCGAATTCTCATCCAACGTTACATCCGACTCGATATTCCAATTTTCACGGAACTGTTCATCCAAATGTTCCTCCAACTTCTCTTTGTTGATCTCACTCGTCAACTTTTCGCGCATTAGAGTCCCATCAGTATAATCCACATCAAGTTTTGCTTTTTTTCTCGCGATCAGGGTTGCCTCATCTCTTGTTACCGGTCTCTGAAAGTCCACATTTAGCAAGAGTTGATCCTTCAAAGTCTCTGTCATGATAGTTTTCGAGTCGATCTGGACCTTTGAATAATCTCGCACATTTTATCCTTCAGGAAGCAAGATCCAACTTCGAAAGTTGCTCAGGAAAGTCGTGTTGCTAATAAACTCCACGGATTCAAGTTCAATTTTAGAGCAAGATTCCAGTTCCAGTCGCGCCAAGGCAAGGTAGTAGTCCTCAGTCGGGAGAAATGCCAACGTGGATATCGTAGACGCAGCCATGCCAGAATTCCATGTCTTCCCCCTAACCTGCGCGCCCACAAAAGACACGCTCGTTACGTTTGGAAACAGGTTTAGTATGTCTTCTATTTCATCTTCGCGGTCGTAAATAAAAAACGAACGTGAATGAAGGAAACGAGGGTTGACACAAATATTCTCCACCTTCTTGAGATCACGTTCACCGATTAAGTTGAAGCAGCCTATTTCACCCCAATCCTCATGACGTATATTATAGTCTTTATCGCTACCTTGGAACGTCTCCTCATTGATAAAGAGAGTATCAATCTTTGGGTTGAACCAGATGGTAGCAAAGGCATCCGTTGTAGCAAACATGAGAGTATATGATTTTGCGACAACTTCGTAAGACTCGCGACAGACGTAAAGCAGTACTGGGGCAGGACAATCCGTAGAGAACCCGTAACGGCTTTGGCGATTCTGGCAGCGTAGGGCAAGTATTCGTGTCTTTAGATCAACAATACGCGGTCCAGGAAGAGCTTTGTGCCAAATGTCCAGTCGCAGCTCAACAGGGAGTGTTCCAAATCGAAGGAATGAGGTGAGTGGGACTCTCATGTTTCTGGGTGGCTGTCTTGGGCCTGTGTATGCTCGTTGATTAGTGATATGTAGCTTGCGGTGGGATGAATTCTGGAGTTGATATAGATGCGCGGTTCTTACCCTTGAGCTTTGATTTTTTGGTGGTCCGCATGTTGGACGTACCTATCTTTTGGAAGTGTGGTCGGTTGTTCTTGACCTTTTGATGAGGAGTTGCCGCAAGTGCGGAGATGGCGATGGTGATGGGGTTGTGGTTGGGGTTGGGGTTGCTGTTGGTGTTGGTGTTGAGGGAAGGAACGTCCTGGGACGCGACTGCTGTTTTCTGGACATTTTTTGATGACGCCGACGCCTCCAGCTGGACGGGACTCTGGACCTCACGAGCCTCGATTCACCATTTGGAAGCAGCGGTGCCAACTTACGCCAATGTCAACGAGAAGAGGTAGCGAATTCTACTTTTAGTCTATGCCGATAAGTATCATCTACTTCCAGTTAGCACCGCCGCCTGGAAACGATTGCAATCGTTCATTACTTCCACAGCCGACTTCTATATAATCATGGTGGACGTGCGAAGTCCGGATATGTACGGAGTATATCCTCATTTCTTCTCCAAAGTCCATCACTGGCCACTCATAGTACGGTAATGGTATTGATTGGTTGCCACGGTCCCCACTCTCATAACCGTGTTACGTAAGGATTAGGAGGCATTCTGACGGACATCAATCAGATATCACATATTCCCATGTACCGGTACTGCACATACTGTACGTATTCGATACATACACAAATTTCTTCAGGAAGCTGCATGGCATTTCCGTGCCGCGTTTGTCCATCTTTCCGACGAACCCGGTGGGATGCTCTCCACGAAGAGGTCCGGCAGGTGGAGCACAAGCCGATGCGAGGTTTGATTGCTCTTTCGTGGTGATCATCATGATCATGTCGGCCATGAGGTGTGATAGCGGTATGTCAGTGTTTGCTCTGCTATGAAGCGGAGTTTTGCATCTGGTGGCCATGGCCATGGCCCCTTTTCCTACCTACTGTACGGAGATCGATAGGTAAATTTACGAGTGCTCGGCGTGACCGGTTTTCTGTGCCTTGAAAGTTGAAGCAACTCCCTACTGGTGGCAGACAGAACAGCTCGGTGGTGGTTGAGGTCGAAGGAATGGCACCATGTCATTGATGCATGTCCATGTCCGTTGTTATGTACCTGGTGTACCTATTCGTACAACCACAATCCGCCATACTGCACTGCACTGCACTGCACTGCACTGGTTACTGTACCTCCCTATTCGAGCTCCTCGCGCAGATTTCGTGGGTTTCCGATTCTTCACCAAGGTGGCTCGTGGGGGCTGCACTGCTGCAGAACCACCGAAGAACCGCCCTGCGGGTTGGCGGCACCGGACTGCGGGAGGAGCCTTATTGGGGAATTTAACGTTTGGAACGACCTTGGGGTTGTGGAGGACGCCACCAAACCTCCTTGGGTCGCATCCCTCGTGCCACAGGTGGTGCAGGCGTGAAGACGAGCGGTTTGGTGTACCCACCGCTCCCTTTCTTGGGTCGCCTCTGTGGTGCAGATTGGCTGATCCAGCCAGAGGGGTAGCCATGGTCACTACTCTACGGTATGTATAGTAGTATATTGGGGTAACACGCTGACTATTGGAATGGTGTAACGAGTCTCGCAACCGAGTCCCAAGCGAGTCCCAAAGGTCCTGCGGAGGTACTGGTGGTACCCCCCAAGTACCCACTAATGCTCCCCAATGTACTGCAAACTGTGCGTGGGAGTCCTTGATGCTCCAATCACAAGCAGACATGGATCCTCCCGACAGCCATTACACAAACCCCTCCCTTTTCGGCATAGTACCTTTCCCGAGATTATGGATGACCTTCTCCACCACTTTTTTGACATTTATCGTAAAGCGCCACTTTCTCGTTTAACGTCTGGGTGAATGCTGCTCCCCGCGAATCATCTCCTCTTCCAGATCATGTTGTGAGAGTCCACGATATTTTCTACCCAAGTTGTCGGGACACTTTTTCATCTTCATCCCAGAGTTTTTGCAACCCGAAATCTACGTCCCCAAGATGTCCTCGCTCTTGGATCTGCAGATGCACTGGTATACCGCCGTGGCCGTTGCTGTCGTACTATACATCATCGGTGGTATTGTGTATCGTTTACACTTTAGTCCTATTGCAAAATTTCCGGGTCCTCGCCTGGCTGCCGCGACCGTTCTTTACGAAGCTTATTATGATGTGATCAAGCAAGGTCAATATACGTTCAAGATCCAGGAGCTTCACAAGACATATGGTTGGTGAAGTAATTAAGCATCGAGTAAGTTTCAATATACTGATGAAGAAAAGGTCCAATCATTCGCATCAGTCCCCATGAACTTCATATCGATGATCCCGAGTACTACGAGGAACTCATGTCCAGAAATTCCCCGCGAGACAAATACAAATACTATGTCGACCAATTCGGAATACCAGGCGCATCATTCAGTACCATCAACCATCGAATGCATCGTCTGAGACGGGCACCCATGAACCCACTATTCTCAAAGCAAAGCATCTTCCAACTTGAGCCCATGGTGCAAAGACTAGTCGAAAAACTTTGCAGCAGGATAGATGAATTCAAGAAATCAGGCCAGCCAATGCCAATGCGCCTCGCTTATCAAGCTCTAACTACCGACGTTGTGACTGCTTATGCCCTTAACAAAAGTTGGCATCACCTTGATAGTCCGGACTTTTCCCCAGAATGGGTAGCTACGGTAAAGGCAACTGCTGAGATGGGAAATCTCGTCAAACAAGTTCCATGGCTTATCAGCTTTTTTAATGTTCTCCCTGACTTTGTCATTGAGGCTGTTTTTCCTGGAATGTTACTTTTGATTAATTGGAGAAGAGTGAGTATGTCTCCATTTCTGCAACCACGTTTGCTAATATTTCACACCAGAGTTTGGCACGACATATTCAAGAAATTATTGATACGCAAGACAAACTGGAAGAGAATGAACATGGCTTACCCCGCACCATCTTCCACTCACTTCTACAAAGCAACGTACCAGAAGAGGAGAAGAGCTTGCAGAGATTGGTTGAGGAAGGTCAATTAGTGGTAGGAGCTGGAGCAGATACGACTGCACATGCTTTGACGCAAACTACCTTTCACGTACTTGATAACCCCGAGGTATTAGTAAAGTTGCAACAAGAACTTCAAAAAGCTATGCCTGACCCGTCAGAGCCTGTCATACTTTCCATTGTCGAGAATCTCCCATATTTGGTGAGTCATCTATTCAAAATATCTTCAATTTTAAAAGCTAATATCTTCAAGTCCGCAATAGTCAATGAAGGACTAAGGTGAACGTTTCTCCTACCCCCCCCCCACTTCATTCCAAAAGCCAGAAAAACATAAACCACCAACTAACACCTCATAAGACTCTCCTACGGTCTCCCCACCCGTCTCGCCCGCATCTCACCCAACGCCCCCCTCCACTTCCAAGACTGGACCATCCCAGCTGGCGTTCGTAACTCATCTCATCCATCCACATCTAGCAAAGCTAACACGAACACCAGACACCCGTAGGCATGACATCGGTAATGATGCACCACAACGAACGCATCTTCCCCAACTCCCACGCTTTCCTCCCGGAACGTTGGTTCGAGCAACCAGATGGCGGACGAGCACTGGAGAAATACTTGGTTTCCTTTAGCAAAGGTAGTCGACAGTGTATCGGTATCAAGTATGCCCCCCCTTATCCCCTACTCATCTCCCTCTGCGACCCCAAGCAATGTTCAGGTTTTTACTAACAATGCCTGCCGGTAGTCTCGCCAAAGCAGAGCTCTTCCTCGCCCTCGCCACCATATTCCGTCGCTACGAACCTTCCCTCTTCGACGCTGTCCGTGAAAGAGATGTTGATCTTAAACATGATAATTTTCTGCCGCAGCCTAGTTTGCAGAGTCGACCTATTAGGGTGGTTTTTAGATGAGGGGGTTTTATTTCGTTTGCTTGTTTGATGACCCACCCTCTTCTTTTTTGAGGAGTTATGTGGAGTTTTCCTGGAATCGTTTGGTTGGGAATTGCTGTTGTATGGTGACTTAGATCGGCAGAGAGGGGGAACAAGGGGGCAAGGGAGGGAGAGAGAGAGGTGGTTATGAGTTTTCTTGTTTTTAAGAAATTGGGTGGTTTAGAGAATGGATGGGCGTGTAGGTTATCTTACACAGATTCGAGATTGGTGCTGGAGAAGGGGTAGGATGGTAGCGCTGTATTTGATCTGGTCTGGCATAAGTGAGCCTAGTTTGGACAATTAGAGAGGCTTCATCATAACCCATGAGGACCTTCACACTTTCTCTCCTCTCTCTCTTTCTTGTTCTCCTACTTTCTGATTCCACTTCCACTTCCACGTTTCTGGATAAAGAAGACTTGCATCCAGAACAGGGGGGTTTTCCTGAACCAGGGAATGGTGGGTAGCTTGTTTTACGGATGGGTGATTGGGGAAGGGGAAGGGGAAGGGAGGGAGGTGTGTTTTAGTCTTTTTAATGGGGGTTAGTGAGGTGATGTTGATGTGTGTATGTATTTGGGTTTGAGGTGGTACGTAGCTAGCTAGGTACCTAGCTTTGTGATAATAAATTAAATAATCCCTTTTTTCTTTTTTTGAATAAGATAGATAAATATCTTTTGGTATGATACTCTCCTGGGATTTTGTCCATTCTTTGGCGTAGTCGTTAGTGTAGTTAAGAGTGAATACTTACGTACCTAGTGTATTCACTATAGGACGATATGGGGTGTGAATGTGGAGCTTGTGTGGTTACTTACTGTATTGAGGAATCTGGAATTAATAGATAAATCAACAATCAATAAGAAGTCTAGATGAATAAGAAGAAGTCTAGAGCGAATAAGCTACCCGCGAAAGACTTTTCTATAATTAGAAATATCAACTGAGATCTTGTTATCGTTAGCGGGTCTTATTTTTCAAATTCAAATTAAATCGAGAAGGGAGTGATATCGTGATTTTTTGATATATATCAGAAGATAATAGATGAACTAAGGAGTTGATTTTATTTTTCTTGCTCACGGGATGCACGTTTGACTTATTGGAAAGATAACAGGGTGTAAAGTCTAAGTCTAAGTATTCACTTCCAAGTATCCGTACAATCACTTCACCATTTCACTAGTTCCTCAAGTTCCTCAAGTTCCACACTAGAGCGAAAGGAACCAAAAACTCACCTATTCCACTCTATATATCCTTTCTTGTCCCATAACTAAGTACCAAGCTATATAACCCCTATCACGGGCCTCTAAACCAGTAACAGCAATACAAATTTGGAGTGCTGAATATGGGTGTTTCCGGCTCTGCCTGACGCCACTTCTGGTATATTAGCCGATAAACGGTAAATTCCCCTTTATCAGCGGAACTTAGTTGGTGGGTGTCTTGTTCTGTTGGCCATTTTACCTTGATTTTTTTCTTATATACCGGTCGGTAAACGACAGAAATGGCATTTATGTAAGATTACCACGTCACCAGTTCACTAGTAAAATTGCTAGTAAAGTAATGTTTTTGTCATTAGTACTAGTTCTATCATAAAAAGACAGTGTTTCTATCGTAATAACAGGGATATTTCCTCTCGCTAAAAGGTAGCATTTGTGTTTGTTCTCGTATAGAGATTTTAATTTCTCCTAGCTATTCTCGCGAGTACTTGATTTGAGCTTGATTCCGTTATCCTGTTTGTAATGTTTTTAGAGAGAAGAGAGACTATGTGAAACAAGAGGTGTAGGAATATAGATCTGTTATTACGATAGAACTGCGAATGTTTTACTACGAAGGTTGTTTACATTAGATTTTTATAGAAAACGATGATAAAGAATGGGTGGTATATAAGTGGTATTTTTGTCGCAAAAGATTTAGTTGGGACAATTTCTTTTATATATATATATATATATTCTTCTGATCTCACCTATTCTCTTCATGCTCTACATCCAGCCACTCTTTACCTTGGGGGTTGGCTCTCTCTCAACGCTACAAAGGTTCGGATATGCTGACGACCTTGGGTTACTTGCTCTTGGACCTACGAAAGCAGAGAATATGAAGGCTCTTTCAAAACAAGTAGCTAGTGCATTAGAGTGGGGAACAGACGAGGGTATTACCTTTGATGCTGAAAAGTCTGAACTTATCCACTTTTCTCGTAAGAGAAAGCAAAGAGGTAGAGGCATCCGGCCTCCTC